CATGCTCATGTTCATAGATTGCGACAAGTTGTACATGTTGTACCTCAGACGATGCCAACTCAAGTGCTGCAATCAATCCCCAGTCTGTACCGAGGTGCCTTCCCTTCAGTTGCTTCCACCGTCACTTCATCTGAGCCCGCCAGGTTTGTTGGTGTGCTGTGACTTTAGGAGCACATGCTACCCTAGTAAAATCGCAGAAGTACTTGTGTTCGAGGGCTCGGGTCAACCTTTACAAAGCAACAAAAACACCGATACAAGCAGGACATGCTTCATGACACCCTTTCCATCCATCCTTCTTCAATTCTGGCCTCCTGGCCTTCTTCAGAACCCTGCACCGTTGTCAATCAAAACCAGCCAATGATGTGCAATTCGATCTTGACCTCAAGAAGCCCACCAAGAAGCCCACGACTACTGCGTCCGGCTCAAACTCGAGCGTTTGAAAGTACCAACACCGTCCTCAATGATGTCAAAAATGAAATCCGAATGTAGTCACCCCCAATCTCCAGCTGAAGCAAACTCTTTTTAACGCACGAAATGATCGACCACTGACAACTGCTCCAATCTCCTTCACTGTGGAGGAGGTCAAAAACAGAGAGTAAACAATTATCAAATTAAAGTATATTAAAGTTAAAGTTCGTGGGCCTCTGCGGCACTGGGCGCCGCTTCAAAAACTGTCATCAGCGCTGAGAAGCTTCCGCCACATCCTTGAAGGTGTAGAAGCCCTTCGCAGCAGCAACTGCGTCAAGAGGATTCACCTTGGAGAACATGTTATTGGGAACGGTTCCATCCACCACTGCAGCCATGGAGTTGTACACATCCATCACCGTCGCTTTTGGCACCGATGCGACAATGCGTCCGATAGCTGCGTTCACTGCCTCATAGTCAGCAGCAGACGTCACTCCTTGGCATCGATGCTGCCAATGGCCTTGTGGTGTGCTTCAGCCGCAGCCTTCAACAAGTTTCCGTCCATCTGGCTGCCCATCACGATCATCTTGTCGATGGCTTTCATCACCTTGGGGGCTGTGGTGTCTGGCAGCGGCTTCAGGTAGACATCGGACAGCCAGTCCACCTCAGGGTACTCACACAAGCAATCGTTGGTTCTCTCGGATGTCTCATTCAAATGGAAACCCAATGAATGAATAAAGGCACCGGGGTTGAACAATGTCGAACAGAGTTTCTTGGAGACCCTGCACCTCTTTCAAGAAAGGGTAGGATGCATCTGAAAGGGCCTTGGCAGCCACACCAATCTTGTCTCCAGTGGACACGGTGGCAGGAGCACCAACTGCGGACACTTGGTTCCTGAAATTTGTTTTGAGTCAGATTGAGAGATTTGGTGAGGAGGCTAGAAGACGCTCAGAATCTCCCACCCTACAATAAGTTTCGGGAAAACAAACCACCATCTCAAGCAATCAAAGGGTTCTTCTCCACCACATCCTTGAACTCCAAAAAGCCCTTGTAAGCCTTCTCCACGTCCGCACCGTTGACCAAAGATTTCATGTACGCAGGAACGCCAGGGTCAGTGATGTCCTTCACGGCATTGTAGACGTCCATGACCTTTGCCTTGGGGACAGACGCCACAACATGGCCCAAAGCAGCGTTCACCGCATCCCAATCCGCTCGGGAAGTCACACCGTTGGGACCTGAGATACTTCCGATGGCCTTGTGGTGAGCCTCCGCGCTGCCTTCAAGAGCTTGGGGTCTGCTGCTGCTCCCATCTCAATCATCTTGTCAATTGCCTTCAGAGCGTTAAGCGGTTGGAACGTGCCAGGGGCTTGCAAGAAAATGCCATTGTTCCAGTCCACTTCCTTTGCGAAGTCGTAGGAAGCATCGCCAAGCTTCTTGGCTGCATCACCAATCTCATCGGCAAAGGCAGCTGGAGCCATCATCATGCCGGCTGCGGACGCAGCTGCCACAGGTGCATGCTTTCTCAATGGCCCAGGCACAAAACTCCAGCTGTTGCAAAAGTTTTGCAAAGCTACCAGCGCTGCAGCCACGCTCAAGATTCTCCAAGAAGAACGTGCCATGATTCTGCGGGAAAGTATTGGGCACTTTGCTATGTGTAACAGGGAGTTGAGCCTCAAATCTCCAGCACAATGATAATTCCCCTGATCACATGCTACAAGTACTGAATCTTCACTGGACTTACCCTGTTTGTGCTTCATCTTTCTTGCGAATAGGCACACAATCTGCAAGCTGAATCATCAATGGATCTTCCGACCCCATTGAACCCTTGAAACCTATCTGTGAAACTCTGTTTGTAGTGAAATGCGCTTGCCAAGTGACATCTCTAAGTCCCTACACCTTGGCTAGATCGACAGTCTCTTCGATGCTGATCTCCACACTATGTCGCTCATCCTCAAGGCAAGTGTCAAAAGTGTGGCCCAGCCGATACCAATAATC